ACGACTTTTGGCTCCAACATTGTCCAGTCGAGTCACCCTGTACAGCCAGGAATGAACATTGTCAATTAAAGTTTATCGGAAGCGAGATGACCCGCGTCGATCCCCCACTTGCGGCCGCGGGGAGGCCCCTGAACAATGGCCAAAAGGACCAAAACACCCCTGCCGAGCGTCTCACCTCCCTTCCACGTGATGAATTGGACACTTTAGAACAACGATGAACGCGAGGCAACACGTGTAGGACACCAAATCCCCTCTCCGGGATTGGCTTTTGGTCGCGTCGTCATGGTTGGACCTTCGGCGGCTCGGTTCGTCGCGTCCGGGACACGTCGATGAGTCCTCAGTTCTTTGGTTTGTTTTGGCACTGGAAAAGATATATAAAGAGGCCTGGGGCAGGGGACGTTCACCACTCAACTCCCCCTCTAACTCTTCCTCGCCGTCTATACGTCTACCATTTACTCTTACTACATCCTCCCCCTCACCACCACCAATCACTACTACTTCAACATGCCGTGGATCGTAGACTGGATGACCGCTGCCTGGCTCCGCAAGACCCAGGGAACCTTCATCGTACGTCGCCTTTCTCTCCTCTCTTTTAGCCAAGTAAACGACAGACTGAATTCAAACTATCCTAGGACGGACGCTTCGTGGATATGCAGTGGGACCACCAACCAAGGACGTCCCACTACTACACGCCGCCGCCGCCCGGTGTCGACGTCGACCCTCATGCTGTAAGTCCCTCCGTCGTCTCCTACTTCTCTTGCCCCTCCCTAACCCCTCCGCTCCTTAGTTACTCCCCGTACTCCAACAGCTCTGCGACGAACACCTGCAAGATGAAATGAATGTACTTGTGAGTTTGTGGGGTTCGTCGTTGGTTGATCGGTCGACTTACGTGTGCCTGTCTCTTCCAGGTTTGGGGCGTCCCGACGGTCGCTCCTATACGTGGTTGGGAGACAGAGCTGGCGTTCGACGCCGAGTCGGATCGCCCTGAGCCGAAGGAGAGTGATATCTGTGGGATCAAACGGAAGATCCAAGATATGGAGGTTCTAGAGGACGACCTCCGGAAGGAGAGGGAGGCCAGGGGAGAGATAGTCGAAGAAGACGACGACAAGAATAATTTCAACCACCTGGGGCCGCGTCCCCTCAAACGTCGGCGAACGAACACTTGGCGAACGAACCATCGCTATGGCCTCCGTCAACGCAGCGACATAGGTGTCCCCTCACGCATGCCAAGCACCTTGGGGACATCTAGGCCGTCTACGAGGAGGTGACCGAACAATCGATGATTTTCACTCTATGCTTTTCCTATTCTTAAATACCCTTCTCATTCGTCTTCTCTTCCCATCGAGACAGGACTGCATCTCCCCTTTGAGACTCGAAAGAGTTTCAACAGTGCGGAGTCTTCCTCTCTCTTTGTATTTCTTTCACTCGGAGCCGCTACGGACTCTTTTCACTCTTCGCACTGTTGTATTACTAACACATTCACGTACGCGCGAGACGTACACTGTAACATTATTTCTTTCTTTCTTTTTGTGATGTCGTCGTCATTGAGGTTTCTGTTCGTCGTGGAAGTCTTTGAAGGCCGTTTGGTCATCGGGACGGACGCGCGGTGGGGATGTCTTTGCGACTGGCGTATTCTTGTTTGTATTTTTGTTCGGCTGGGTTTTTTCGTCTTGGTCAATCGGAATGTGGTGTGTCTTTGGCAACCATCGTGTGGCCCCTGTGGGGTGTTAGACGCGTACGCGACCTGTGAGGGCGAAGCAAGGGCAAAGTATTTTCAACGCCTTCACCCTTTGAAATACAGTAAAGAACACTCTAATACACTCGACACAATAAAGTAAGTGTATAACGCGATCGAGTCCATTCGCGCCTTCCGTTCACGAGTCCAGTCCGTCCGCCTCAGGCTGGTCTGCAACTCGCGTTTCGTCATGAATCCCACAGTTCGCGAGTAACAAATCTGAACAAACAACCGTTGGATTTGGAAATGGACTGTTCTACTCGTCAGGCTTCTCTGAAATGCCCTCGGCCAACACCGACGACCCTTGGACACCATTTCTGATGACTGAATTTCCTCGCCTATTGATCCACAAGTTGTCAACTGCGGAAATGTACGTGTGCTTATCTCCGTAAAACGATGTGGGCCGAGACGTTGCGGTAATATACAATCGTGCATTCCCGCACGTCTCCTTCTCGATTGATAATGCCCTAGATCCCTACACACTGAGCCGATAAGGCCACAACCTCAACGATAGGCTCTCATACGTACCATGACCGCTCCCATGGGGCGGAAACGTGCGGACGCCGATCATCACAACATTCCGACGCTTCGACCTACATGCGGAAATGATCGCTCTTATATTTCCGCAAACATCAAGATGCAGTAATAGGGGAGGAAATCAGTAGGCGTCAAACACACTGTTTAGACGACTCTATTTTGAACAGCTGTAGGTGCTGCCGTCGTGTCTGGTTTTGCTCTTATCCATGCGTACGTACGATCAAAACGTTAGCGAAAGAAGTCGGACGGGAGTTTATCGACCAGCGAAAGCCGAGGTCTCCCTCGTCGACGACTTTTCATTAGCCTTGCCGTATGTGTCGAGGTTTGAGTTGATTCTTGTGTTATCGTTGACAACTCGGCTACGCAGTATCCGATCCATCGGAACAGGACCAACCACACCGCGAAATTGGGTGTGTTGGATAATTTCAGCACTTCGGCCCAGACAATGACGAATGCTACCAGCGCCACGCTTTGCCCACAAGCAGCATGGCCTGACGTGCAAGATGCCGAGCTGGCTCACCTCCACTTGATCGATCCGTGCGTATGTCCTTGGTTGGTGAACCACCCAGATAAGGCCAAATCAGGGCCGCCTATCTAGACTCGGTCCTTCCCAACTCCCAAGTCTAACGGGAGAAGCAAGCCTAACAGGGTGAAGATGGCGCATGTGATATTTACGACACGCCATACCCTCGAACACGCGAGCAACAAGGGAAAACACCCAGTAAATTTTGATTAGTCGATCTGGCAAAGACAACAGGTTGAAAACAGCGGATCGAAAACGATGGTTGACAGACAAAGAGACCATAGATGCGAAGGTGTGTGATGATGGTGATCCAGTAAGTTGTCCATATGACATTCCGATAACGCGTTGGATGACGAGCGATGGATGGCTAGTCCAAGACCAGGGTAGTAGTCGTTTAGCCCTCCGTAAATCTGAGGATGAAATTGACGACAATTGCAACTGGGATGGTCCTGTCAGTTAGAGCTGAAGAGGATTTCGGAAAGGACAAGGACTCACCCAAAAGGGCAATGCATAGCAATGTCTAGAAGAAAAGAAGCCATGAGAACATGTTTTTGGTGCGGCATCCGTGCTCTGGTTGACATACCGGTCCCAGGCGATCATCGTAAGGACCTGAACCGCGTTTCCGGATAGCAGCCGCCCTCCAATGATAGATGTAGAGTGCGTAGATCATGATGCCAATAGCTAGCACACAGAGACATTAGTTCACTCATTAGCGTGGAAGTAAGGGAAGGCACTCACCGACGGCAGAGAACATAGCAGCGCTAATCTTCCCGACCTACACACGTATGGAGGCATCAGTATTGTTCCCGACGAACAAGGCACCTTCCCAAAGACATAATAAATCCATCCTGGGACTCGACATACCTTATCGCCAAAGTTCAACAACCCTACGGCAAGACCTCCGAGGACGACAGTGAAGTGCAACCATGATAGGAAAGTACGTTCGTTAGCGAAGAAGACCTTGGGTTCGACGCGGACGTTGAGCGCAATGCGCTTCTGGGCGGTGCGTTGGAGGAGCGGTTGGGTGGACATGGCAGCTTATCGTCGTCGTGCGCGGGGGTGAAAACTGGACCGGAGAAGGCGAGAATGGGGTTGGATTCGAATTGAAACCGACTGCCCATATGACGCGGGCCGTGCGAACCATAGGGTTCAAACGTGTGTTTTTCGGCCGTATCGGCGTACGAGTGCCGCGTATTGTGACCGGGATGAGGATGCCGCGACAAGTCTCCGCTTTTACTCTGAGTTGGACAGGTACGTTATAGCTGGAAAGGAACCGAAGTAAGATGAATATCAGGCTGGCTACTGTGAGTTTTCATTTGACGTCTTTTGGAGGCTCAGAGTTTATGGACATTTCGGATGTTGGTGTAGCCCAATGATTTGCTCGGGATGCAGGCATGTAATCTGCAGAACTTACCGGAGAACTATACGCTACGATATTGTGAGGGTTGCTTCAACGCTTGACTTGGTTTTGGAGAACTAAGCCTTGCTATGAAGACCTTTACCATGCCATGACATGGCCCGGGCTTTCGTTTGTAGCAGA